TGCTCTATCTGAATTTTATGTGGTAGGTTAATTGTTATATTTTTTGTAATCAAATAGGAACCTTCTATATTTTTCGAAATTATATGTATAATAACTGAGTTATATCGATTTTTATGAAGTTATTGGGGTTTTTTTAATTTTTCATTGTTACGTAACGCTCGAAAATCCATGTTTATTAGTCTTGGAGTATTTCAGTACAGATCCTCCATTGTAGTACAAAAACTACCCGACAAAGATTTATGACATACTGGGAAAATAGTCCCAGAAAAAGGACTAGTTTACAATCGTTTCATTTCCACTTTCTAGAACAGTTTAATATTAAACATATGTTGAAATTTGAAGAAGGACTGCATTCTTTTGTGCCATAATCCCTAACTTTTATTCTCAGTTTTACCAGTGGGAATTTTTGCTTTTATGGCCATTGTCAGTCTCTGGACAACTCTTATTCGGTAAAGACGTCCCTTCCTCGTGCTAATAAAGAAAAGTTTATCAAGTATTAAACGGCTTTTTAAAAATTATTTATTCACTTGCCCCCATATTCCAATAATTAGTAATTCCTGTAGCATTCGATATAATTTATGTGGATACTAGCAATCATGCGCGCTGTCACGGGGTCTACCTCTAAGTGAGTATTGTAGCCGTGTAGGGCTCAACGACATTCTCGTAGTCATGGAAATGATCAATCGATCCATTAACCAATAGGAAGACGAATTAAAGATTGATAATGAAAACAATCATTCATTGTCAATTTTTCTTATGATGAAGAATATTGAGGACTATTTGAAAGGCTTCAACCAGCTCCTGCCTTTTGAGTCTTCTAAGTCCATCGATTTCATCAAGAATTATCGATGCTAATGTGTCATGTTCGTAAAATTAGTAGCCACGTACGAATAGAACCCATAATAACCTATATTTCGTTTTTATGTACAAACTCATGGAATATGTGGCGCAAAATAGCAAAGAGGAAATTTATGTATGAAATATACTCTTGCATATTTGTTTTCTCGTTCGTTCTTAACCATATTCATGCTTCCTTAAATGGGGATTCCCGAATACGTCATTAATTTACGTAATGATTTTATTATTTTATCACCCCAAATTAATTAATAAACATTTTGAATATATAACGGACCCTTCATTTCACAATATGTTTGGTATGTTTTTTACTCCGCTTTAGAAATACAAAAAAAAAGTATACAGAATTGACCAAATATTTTACGTACCTTTCATAGATTTTTCCATTGGGGTAACGTTTCAAAGGGTTCACATTTCATGATACTTGCCGATTGCAAGAAATTTTTTTGTGTCAATGCACTTTGTTTGAGACGTGAAGAAATGCTCCTGCATAGCATAGCAATTTCATTGGTTTGTCTTTGAAGTTAGTGGCATGTGGTGTACAGTCCCCAAGTACATTTTCGCCACCCGACTGGCATCGAAGAGAGCGAAGGCGAACTAAGCCGGATGGAAAATTACCACCGGAACTCCTAGCACAGTAGGGAAAATATATGAAAGAGCATTCTCCACCTTTTCATACCGTTATACTCAGCACTCGGGAAGGCTACAGCATATATAGTGTGCATGAAGTCATATCTCGTTTCCCGAATACGAGGGCGACGATGTATGCCCCATCATGCAGGAGAAATGTCTCCTGGGGGAAAGATGGTCCTTGGTATACTACAGTGTCGTTGTCTCGTTGCCTCTTATTCGCCTAACATTTCAACTGCATGTATAGATATAACAATATACGGCACTTGTTAATGTCAACATGTTACTACAAATTTGAACATTTCTGAGAATGCGAAGAAAGTCATAAAAAATTTGTAAGTAATGTGGCACAATTTTGCACGTCTTTAACTATTTCAATGACTATTTGCATATTGCGCTCATTAGTTGATGAACATAATTAATAGATCTATTCTTATTCTTACGAAGTGGAACTGCCAAAATAGTGAGACAGGCAAATAGAGCAAAATATCGTGGAACAGCAGATGGCATTTACCAGCGAAATTATTCTCATGAATAATCTACTTAATACAGTCCGAAAATACTTGTAGGTGGCTTAAATTTTACATAATAGATTACCCTTCATCGCGAGTAGTCAATTTGAATACTAAAATAGAGAAGAGTCACCAGAAGATATATATATATATATATGTACATATGTACATATATATGTACTAATTTTAGTTAATTGTCAATCATTTCAATTACTCACTAAGATCTTGTTATACATAGAAGCACGCAGTGCGCTGTAATTTATCGAATTTTATGCATGGCAAGAAATACTACTAGTATCGCACCAGTTCTCACGAGAAGAATTCAATTGTAGTGGAGATATTAAAACCAAATTGAAATCGAATTCCCTTTGATGAAATGATTCGTTAAAAATTATGGGTTTTAACAATTAATTCACACAAAACTACCAAACTAGAGCATTTTTATAAATACGTCGCTTTTGATGAATGATTCAGAATCACATTTTATCACTGCTGTTACGTTCAGCCCGTGTCCGAAAGTGCTTTTTCGTTTACTAGTAAAGAAATGTTGATATTCCTTAACGAGAAGATTTTTCGATTACTAGTAAATGTAAGATTGTGCACTTAGGTATTTACTAAACATAACATTAGTAACAAACATTTTAGCTCGGAATTCGGATACACGTGTGACGGGGTGTTTTAACTCGTTTGATCGGCAGTCCTCGGCTTGGCTTCGGTTCGCTAACTTTTCGCTTGTTACCACTCCGAGCTCGTACCGAAATATACTCAAAGTTCACCTCATTCTGTTAAAAATGATAATATTCGTTTGTGTGAATAAAATCGTTGTGTTCTCATAACTGCACAGGAAATTCCACTTTATTGAAGCAATAGCAATGCAGCAAATAAAGTCATCTAATTATTTCGATTACGCGCGACAGAAGTTTGTTTGATTGTAAATTTATATAGAGCTCTATGAAAAAGGACTAAGCGCCGACTATGTAACAATTTCAGATAAATTTCAATGATTTCACCTCCCGCGAAATTTAGCGGTAATTTGCGCTCATTAACTCACGTTAATCACTTAAAATGGATTAGT